CTTGCCAAAAGATAACAGACAAGAAATAATTTGCAAAATAAGAATCTTCAAATACAAACTCAGGATACTGGAATGTCCACGAGGCTGGAGTTTCAAAACGTCTTTGCCTTCTGCAAAGAACGTCTGATTTACAGCTGGCTTTTATCTTCTTGAAGGAGGGGCCATTACCTTGCAGCCTTACTCCAGAGTCTGCCGTGCTGTTGTAACTGCTCTTTCCTACGAGCGGCCCTACCTGCACTTGGCACAGGCTCCTCGGGAACCTCCTCATCACTGCTGCCAGCCCCCACAATCTCTGAAGGCAGCAGTCCACTCCCTAATGGTCCTGGCCCCTCATCTGAGTCCTCGCTCTCTTCAGCCATTTGCACCTGCTGCTGCTGGCTTACCACAATACCTCCAGTGAAAAGTGTCTCTAAGAGAGCTTTTCCTCCATGCAATCACAATAGTTCTTAGACCAGGGGGGTCCCCAAACTTGGCAACTTTTAACACTTGTGGATTTCAACTCCCAGAACTTGGGGAGTTGAAGTCCACAAGTCTTAAAAGTTGCCAAGTTTGGAGATTTCTGTCTTAGACTTACGCAGGTAGTCCTCGACTTAATAACCACAATGGAGCACAAAGTTTCTGTTGTTAATGGAGACATCTGTTTTACGACCTTTCTTGCCACCGTTGTTGAGTGAATCATGGTGTCAACCCATAAAATATTTCTATGGTCTTTTTAGAGTTGCCAACAGAAAGGGAAGGGGGGAGCAGTGCGGCAGCTTGCAAACTGAAACTGCATTCCATAAATAATTTTTCAAAGATAGTAACTAGGTGACTGAAGTTTCTGCCGCCCAGAATTCTAACTGGAGAGTGTGATTGATGACTCTTGGCTATGGATGTGTCCCATTGGAGAATATGGATTATGATACACCCAGGGGGTGGGGGGAAAGCCAGGGTCAAGGGTGACAATGAATTAGGTGTCTCAGAGTCGGCTACACCCAGGCAGTGCCAGCATGTTTACTCCTAATAAATCCTTTTGAAGTTTTGGAAATTTGGCTCGAGACTCATGATTTGGATGGGGGTAACTGCCGGAATCCTGACAAACGGCCTTTGTTAACTTAGTAGCCCCATCGTTAAATGAATCTGGCTTCCCTCTTGACTTTGCTTTTCAGAAGGTTGCAAAAGGGGATCACCTGACCCCTCCCCCAGGGCACAGCACTGGTCATGAATATGAATCCAGTTGCCAAGCCTCTGAATTTTGATCACGGGGATCCTGCAAAAGGTCACTGAGTGATTGTGAGGATGTTACAACAGTCAAAAGTGTGAAAAACGATCATTCAGTGCCATTGTAACTTCAAACGGTCGCTAAACGAAGTTTTGTAAGTCGAGGACTACCTGTGCAGCTTTCTTGCCAGTATCACAAACTTGGTGTCCCATCATTGCCTTCTAGAATGTTTCTCAACTTTCTTGTCTAACTCATCCTGGGATTCCTCGGTTGCTTCCCATCCAAATCCTAACCAGTCTTGACCCTGCTTAGCTTCCAAAGCCCTAATAAGGTCCCTGCAGTGTTGCCACCCCACTTCCTTATAAACGTGAAGATGGCATGGAGAACAAATAGCATGATGAAACCGTGTGGATTACTAGAAGGATAGGAGGAAAAAAATGAGTTCTGCTTTTCAACTTGTTAACACGAACTCTGAATTCACTAGATCAGGGGTGTCGGACTCAAGGATGTGGTTGGATCCAGCCTGCAGGCCCAAACTCAAGGACAAGGATCTTCAAACTTGGCAAGTTTAAGACTTGTGGACTTCAACTCCCAGAATTCCCGAGCTAACACGACGGGAGGAGGAATTCTGGGAGTTGAAGTCCGCAAGTTTTAAAGCTGTCAGAGTTGAAGATCCCTGTTCAAATATGTGGTCAGATCCAGCTTGTGGAGCCCAAACTCAAGGATGTGGTTGGATCCGGCCCACAGGGGCTAAACTCAAGGATGTGGTTGGATCCAGCCCGCGGGGTCCAAATTCAAGGATGTGGTTGGATCTGGCCCTCAAGGCCCTCCTGGAAAATGTAAGGGCCCGGCCCACGTCACTTCAGCTTGGTCTACCCAATGCGAAGAGGAAACATGCTAACAGTTTGGGGAGTAGCGTTAAGCTGGCCACACCCACTCAGTTGGCCACGCCCTCCCAGCCCCCAAGGTCAACCACAGCCCTGATGCGGCCCTCAGTGAAATTGAGTTTGACACCCCGGCACTAGATTAAGGTGTACTTTACATACTCAACAGGGTTTGCAAAAGAACAGGCTGAAACAGTCGTCTCGGCCTTGATGAGTTTGTCAGCGGTCAGCCTAGATACCGTCTACAAGGATATGGTGACGCAAGCCCAACAGGTAACCAAACCGGCGGTTATTCCTTGGTTGCATCCCTTTGCCAGAAAACAACACACATTTCAGGGGCCTTGCAACATTTTGTGGGTATATGCGTATGTTTTTATTTTACGTTTTTAGGAAATAACTTTGCAGCAGATCATGTTTCAACTGGATTCCATTCGCAAGGATATGGTAATTCTTGAGAAGAGCGAATTTGCCAATTTGAGAGCAGAAAACGAGGTATTATCCCCTCCCCTCTCAACCCCCCACCCCCCCTGAGATGTATTTGTTTAACTTGTGAAGGTTTTCTGCAAAAATTTTTTCGCATTTCATAGGTTAGGTGCAGTGTTTCCAATTCAATCCCAAACAGGAGCTTGTGGGGGGATGAAATGGGGTGGCTGGTTGCAGCCCTTTTAAAGCAGCTGCATCATGGCCCAGATATATCATCGACAGTTATGGCTGTGAAAGTTAACATGCTTGTATATTTTGCTGTTGCAGCTCCTATATACCATCCACTGTTTCTCTGCTTTCTTCCTCTCTTCCTTAGAAAATGAAAATTGAATTGGATCAAGTTAAACAGCAACTAATGGTAAGTAGACCAGGAACAGCCAAGTGGTTCAGTTTGAGGATGGAGCATAAACCTGCTTTTAAAAAAAGAATTGCGGATGATCTTTTCTTTTTTTAATATTTTTTTTATTTTTAATATAATCATTTCATCCTCAGTTGAACAGTGTTTTGTCTGGGTACAAATATATTTGTTAAACAATAATCAAAATTACAACAGCCTTCATTAAATTAATATTGATTCTGCAGTCTTGAACATAATAATATTCCACATATTCTACAATAGTAACATAATGTTCAATATACTAGTCATAATATTTACTTACCTCTTTTAACATGTCTTCTTTATTTTGTTTCCCTATTTCTAACTTCCATTTTTATTATTTAACCATTGATAAAATAGATTCCACACCATACAGTATTCGGTTTGCTCTTTCTCCTTAATTGCAGTGTTAATCTATTCATTTCCACACATTCTGATATTTTCTTAATCACATTCTCATCTGTAGGTATCTCTTCACTCTTCCAATTTTGTGCAAATACAATTTTGCCAGCAATTAATATATGAATAACTAAATATGCATTTTCCTTACTGTATTTTTCGGGTAGAATCCCCAATAGAAATATTTCTGATTTTAAGTCAATATGTTGTTTTATCATTTTTTTCAAACCATGTATGTATTTTTGTCCAGTATTTTTTTTGTTGCTTTTGAGCAAGACAACCACATATGATAATATGATCCAGGTATCTGGTGGCACTTCCAGGAATTATCCAATTTGTCTTTAAACATCCTTGCCAGCTTATCTGGTGCAAAATGCCATCTATAAAACATTGCATACAAATTTTCTTTGTATGATGATCTTTCCAACGAGGTGTCCTTGATATTCTCTGAGCTTGCGGTTTTTTTCCTTCTTGCAGATGTTTCATTACCCATTACTCATCAGTAGCTTTGAAAATATTAACCTAGTTTGGATAATGAAACATCTGCAAGGAAAACAAACCCAGCCTGGGAGAGCACCAAGGGCCTCTCATTTCAACCCTGAGCTACAAAATATTTTCCTTTATTGGGAATTTTTCAATTCAAGAAAACCTCGCCCTCTTAGGTTTGCTGTAGAATTGGAACCCCTACAGACCAATTCTGAGTATTTTCAGCCCCGGGTCTATAGGAGGTCCAATTCTGCAGCAAACCTAAGAGGGAAAGGTTTTCTTGAATTGAAAAGTTCCAAATAAAGGAGAATATTTGCAGCTTGGGGTTAAAATGAGGGGTCTTTGGTACTCTCTGAGCTTGGTGGGGGGTTTTTTTCTGGCAGTTATTCATTATCTGGCCCTTTGGCTGTCCGTGTTTGGTCTTGTGGATTGCTTTTACTTTGAAGAAAATGGCTGCTTCTTTTTTTTTTTCAATTTATGTATGTCCATATGTGAATTCCTACTCACTTGTCAGCCCTATTAGTTTGCCCCTCTACAACAGTTCCAAGTATCTTATACTGACTCTTTGGGGAAATTCGGTAGAGATTCTCACTCATCCAGGTCTTGGTTGTCCCAAAGGTGCTTTTTCAGGAGGCAACTGGATTTTCTTGATTTTTACTTTTATAGATGTTTCTTTTCTCATCCAAGAAGCTTCTTCAGCTCTGACTGGATGGTGGGGAATGGAAGGTTTTATACTCCTTGCAGACAGCTGGTCGTTTGCATTGTTTTTAGAGAGTCATTGAGGCCACTTGGAAGTTCATCTGTGTCCTCGGGATCCCCTGAGTGGTGCTCCTGGTTCCTGTAGTCTGCAATTTTTTTTTCTTTTCCCTCTGGAAATCCATTTCTACTCCCACACCATTCGAAGGGTGTTCATCCCAAATTGTATAGCTAAAAGTCTGTAGAGATTCTCAGTCTTAACCATGACCTGAATGGCTGAGAATCTCTACAGACTTTTAGCTATACAATTTGGGATGAACACCCTTCAAATGTGTGGGAGTAAGGAATGGATTTCCAGAGGAAAAAAAGTGCAGACTACAGGAACTATTCAGGTGACCCTGAGGACACAGATAAACCTCCAAGTGGCCTCAACGACCCTCTAAAAGGATGCAAATGACCAGCTTGCATGGAAAGAATGTAAACCCTTCCATTCCCCACCATCCAGTCAGAGTTGAAGAAGCTTCTTGAACGAGAAGCGAAACGTCTTCAAAAGAAAAAAAACAAGAAAATCCAGTTGCCTCCTGAAAAAAAACAACACCTTTGGGAAAATTAATTGCCCACCACTGCATCAACTGTCTTTGCCTTTGGAAAACCTGGAGCAACACCCTACCCAGCCCTAATCGCATTCTTCCACATGTTGCAAATCATGCCTTAATAAAGATGCTAGTCCCTAGAATTGTGCGTGCGCAACAGTGGAAAAATGAAGGGATCCCTACAAATGAAAGTATAATTTAAAAAAATATGTTAGAATGTGCAGAAATGGATAAATTAACACTTAAAATGAAGGAGAAGGAAGAAACCGAATATTTTTTAACATCGGATTCATTTTTACCAGTGGCTAACTAACAGAAACAGAAGTTAGAAATTTAAAAGCATAAGAGGATGATTAATTGCATAAGGAAGTGGATAAGCAAATACTATTATTATGTGATCATTATTAATGTTATGAATATCATTGCTATTATCAGTATTATTTCTCAAAATTAACTGTACCCAGACAACGCACTGTTTATGTAGACATTGAATTTTTTATGTTTAATAATAAAATAAAAATAATGAAAATAAAATAAAGATGCTAGTCCCAACTGTGCAGCAGCAGGAAAGCAGAAGCCGGTGTGTCACGCCAGCTGCTGAAATCGGGTGTCAAATAGCACGATCTCCAAAGAGAAAACAGAATTTTCAGCCAGGCTTGAAAATTCGGGGAGGGGGGAAAAGAACATTCTGTTTTCTCCTTCCTAAAATTGAGAGTGGGATGTTTTTTCTTTGAAGAACGAAACTAACCAGATCAGAGCTGAAAACAAGCTGGACATCAACTTGGAGAGAAGCCGAGTGACCGATATGGTGAGTAGTTTTGCGTCGGTATTTTTTTTTTCTTATGTACAAGTAGTCCTTGACTTACAACCATAAGGGAACCTCAAATTTCTGTTGCTGAGCAAAGCAATTGTTCGTTGAGCTTTGTCCCCATTTTGTTATCTTTTTTTTGTTTTGCCACAGTCGTTAAATGAATCTTTTGAGCAGTGGTTAGAGTGCAGTATTGCATGCTACTTCTGCAGCCAGCTGCCTACAATTTGGCAGTTCAAATCCCACCAGGCTCAAGGTTGACTCAGCTTTCCATCCTTCCGAGGTGGATAAAATGAGGACCCAAATTGTTGGGGAGCAAGAGGCTGACTCTGTAAACCGCTTAGAGGGGGCTGTAAAGCACTATAAAGTGGTATATAAGTGCTATTGCTATTGCTATTAAGCGAATCTGGCTTACCCCCATGGACTGTGCGTGTCAGAAGCCAGCTGGGAAGGTTTTTCTGTGCCGTGGTAACTTCGAACAGTCATTAAATGAACAGTTCTAAGTTAAGGACGGCTTGTACTTTTTGAGCTGATTATAGATTCCTGGTTTGTTTGTTTTTAAATTTTTATTTTTGTTCTTTTTTTTTTAATTCTCCAGTTCACGGATCAAGAAAGAAAGCTGATGGAAGCCTCCACAGAATTTCATAAAAAAGTAAGCGTTTGAATCGTTTTTGTTCTAGATCCGTGATGGCGCACCTGTGGCACACAGGTGGCATGCAGTGCCATTTGTGCAGGCTCGCACGCCTCAGCCAAACTTACTTGAACTGCACATGTGCGTGCCTCCCGGCTGATTTTCGGCCCGTTTGAGGCCGTTTTTGCCCTCCCAGAGGCTCAAAGGAAGCCTTTGCAGCCTCGGGAGGCCGAAAAACGGGCCTTCTGGAAATACCGGAAGTGCCTGTTTTCAGCCTCCAGAGGGCCTCTGGAGCTCGGGGGAGGCAGTTTTCACCCTCCCAGAGGCTCAAGGGAAGCCCCTGCAGCCTCGGGAGGCTGAAAAACAGGCCTTCCGGAAATTCCGGAAATGCTGAAATGGGCCCATTTTCAGCCTCCAGAGGCTTTCTTCGAGCCTCCAGGAGGGCGAAAATGGCCTCCCCCAGGCTCCAGAGGTCTTCCGGAGGCTGAAAACGGGCATTTCCGGTATTTCCGGAAGGTCCATTTTTCGGCCTCCTGAGGCTGCAGAGGCTTCCCTTGAGCCTCTGGGAGGGTGAAAACTGTTTTCCCCGAGCTCCAGAGGCCCTCTGGAGGCTGAAAACGAGCACTTCCGGTATTTCCAGAAGGCCCGTTTTTCGGCCTCCTGAGGCTGCAGAGGCTTCCCTTGAGCCTCCGGGAGGGCGAAAACAGCCTCAAACAGACCGAAAATTAACTGGGAGGCGCACGCATGTGCAGTGCAGGTAAGGGGAAAGGGCGGGGTTGTTGCGTGCACATGCGCAGCGGGGGCGGGACGCATTGCATTGTGGGTGCCGGCACATGCTTTCGGCACACCTGTTAGGGATATACACCCTAGCAGAACGTGCAACGGCAGTCTAGAAGACAGGCAGATATGTGTGAGATAAAAACATTGTAGTAGCTTACACTCAGTAAGACAGATACACTGTGCAAGTTAAATAGTTTTTATTCCAGCAAGAGTTATAGCATATTCAAAACAGTCCATATATCATACGCTAAGTTCAGTCCATCCGGGGGTTATTCAGTTTGCAAAGTCCAGTGTCGAAAAAGAGGTCAGTAAACTTACAATCAATCAGTCCTGTGATATATCTCTTTTGCAGTCAGAGATATGAAGAAAATCAAACCTCCTTTCTTCTTTCAGCAAACAAGCAGTTTATCACCATCAATCCTTCATTGTCAGCATTCCAGTAAAAGCCAGGCAAACAGTGAGCTCTCTTGCTCCCTCTTATGGTGATTTTACAACCGCACCCAAAAACTTGGTTTACAGTTTAAAGTGATACATACACTTAAACCAACTAACATAGTTTATATATTATTTTACCCAAACTAAGTTAGGTAACCAATGTTATCTCTAACAACACCACAACAAAAAGGTTTGCTGTCACTGTTCTAGATTCTAGGTCAGTGTTTCTCAACCTGGGAAACTTGCAGGTGTGTGGACTTCAGTTCCCAGAATTCCCCAGCCAGCCAGGCTTGGCAACTGACAGATCAGGGTCACCTAGTCGCCATTCTCATCCTTTGCCAGCTGGCTTCCCCCAAGCGAAGACAATGGAAGAAGCCGGCCTGGATTCATTTAATGACCTCATGATTCCTTTAACAACTGCAGTGATTTTCTTAAAACTGCAGCAAAAAAGGGTTGTAAAAATTAGGTGTGACTCACTTAACAACTGCCTCGCTTAAGCAATGGAAATTCTGTTCCCGGTTTTGGTCGTAAGTCAGAGGTTACCTGTACATTTGTAGTAGAAAGCAACGTGACAGAAGGAAATGCATAGATTTTAAATAACTCAGCAGAACAGAAAATAACCTTTTCCTGGGTATCCAAAGTTAGTTGATTCTTGGTTAGTTGATTCCTGAAAAGGAGTCGCCACAAAGAAGAGGTCCGCCTACTTTCCAATGCATCAGAAGGCAAGACAAGAAGCAACGGATGGAAGTTAATCAAGGAGAGAGAAGCGACTTAGAACTAAGAAAATTCCTGACAGTGAGAACAATTAATCAGTGGAACAACTTATCTCCATCATCATCATTTAACAACTCTATAATCCCTTGCAGGGTGGAGTCTGGGCAACTGAATAGAGCGGAGTATTTTCTGGTCGGATGCCCTTCCTGTCACCAATGAGGAGTTTTGTTCAGCAGATATATTCTCATTGTGCCCCGAGAGAGAAATATCTGCCTCTACCTAGGATCGAACTCGCAGCCTCCTGATTGTGAGGCAAGAGCTCCACCTCTAGGGCCACTCAAACAACTTACCTCAATCACTGGAGATTTTTAAGAAGAGACTGGACAAGGATTTGTCCAGAATAGTCTATAGGGTTTCCTGCTGGAGCAGGGGGTTGGACTAGAAGACCTCCAAGGTCCCTTCCAACTCTGCTACTGTTACTAAGGAATGTTGATGCCACACTAAGCCACAGGGACAAAATGGCCTGCTCCTTTTGGGTGCCAAATGATGCTCTGTATGTCCTTCTAGGATTCCATCAACAACAGTTCCCTGACGGAAGTCAACAATAAAATAGATGGCGAGATTGCCGCTCTCAAAACACTCATGGAGTCGAATAAGCTGGAAACCATCCGGTACTTAGCAGGTAGGTTCCTGGCTCATTAAAAGCCAGCCTACAATGTGGGGATGCTTAGCGACTCAAACAAACGGACAGCGTTTTCTGTAGCTGCTGATTGATGAGAGACATGGTGGCGCAGTGGTTAGGAGGCGGTATTGCAGGCTAAATCTGCCGACTGTCAGCAGCTCGATCCTGATGGGGTTCAAGGTTGACTTAGCCTTCCATCCTTCCGAGGTCGGTAAAATGAGGACCCAGATTGTGGGGGGCAAGAGGCTGACTCTATAAACTGCTTAGAGGGGGCTGTAAAGCGTGGTGAAGTGGTATATAAGTCTAAGTGCTATTGGGAAGCAAGGAAGGGAAGGGAAGGGAAGGAAAGGGCTGTGGTGGCGCAGAGGTTACAATGCAGTATTGCAGGCTAACTCTGCCGACTGCTAGCAGTTCGACCATACACCCTCACCATCCTTCCAAGTTGGGTAAACTGAGGACCCAGATTGTTGGGGGGCAAGAGGCTGACTCTGTAAACCTCTTTGAGAGGGCTGTAAAGCACTGTAAAGCAGTATATAAGTCTTAAGTGCTGCTGCTATTGCTAGTTCAGTTATTTACTCTCATTTCATACTATTCCTCACTTGTTTTCTGTTTTCTTTTGCTTTAATAATTTAATAAAAGATGGCAAAGGGTCTGGAGGCTAAATCATATCATGAACGACTGAGGGAACCAGGCATGTCTAGTCCAGTGAAGAGAAGGACTCGGGGTGACATGTTACTTCAAATAGAATTAATTTTCCTTCTCCTTCCTGGAGATTTTCAGTCATCCGGGGCATAGTTGTCTCAAAGGTGCTTTTTCAAAAGGCAACTGGACCGTTTTCTTCCTTGAGGAAGAAGAAGACGTTTTGCTTCTTATCCAAGGAGCTTCATCCGTTCTGACAGAAGGGTAGAAGGGTGGAAGGACTCAGTTCTGAGCAGTCAAAACAGATGAAGCTTCTTAGACGAGAAGCAAAACTTCTTCTTCTTCCTGAAGGGAAACAACAGTCTGGTTGAAAAAGCACCTTTGAGGTCTTCTCACACGTTTTCCTGGACTAAGCTCATGTGCTGCTAACAGGCTCTGTGTAACTTCTCCAAAGTCACTTGTGGGATCATCTGCAGTGTTCTCCTTGGCGGACCTTTTCACGGGCAGTTGGTTGAACATTTGTTGGACGTGGCTTAGTGGATACTTAGTGGATACTTCTGGTGCTTAGTGGATACTTGCCCTGCACGAGGGGTTTGGACTGGAAGACCCATAGGCAGAGGTGGGATTCAGCCGGTTTGGGCCGGTTCACCTGAACTGGGTGTTAAATTTACATCTGATTCGCCGAACCAGTAGCTGGCCCCACCCATCCCTCCTCTCCCCGGAGTCTCCGCGCAGCCCGCTTTGGATGCAAGTAACTGCAGTGTCCACGTCGAGACTCTGGGAGGATGAAAAACAGCCCCCCTGGAAGTTCTGGGAGCTTCAGGTG